CACCGCCGACGACTCACCGCGTCGTTCCGCCTCCAGCAGCCTCTGCCGTTGCGCGTTGAGCTCCGCGCGCCGCAGCGCACTCTGCACGCGTTGCTGCTCCCAGATTCGTGCCCGATGCACGTCCCGCTCCGCTCCGCGCAGTGCGTCCTCGGTGAGCGGCACGTCCGTGTAGAGGCCACCAAACGCCAATACGCGGCTCTCCGCGGCCTGCAGCAGCACCTCCCGAAGGTCCGCAGCGGCGTTGGTGCACATCGCCACGGCAACAACTCTGCCTGCGCCGCGCAGATGCAGTGCGGCGTGGTCACAGCCACGGAGTCAAAGGAACTAGGAAATAAAACAAGAGGAGGAAAAAAGTAACGTGCGGTAAAGGAGGCCACGAGCGACGCTGCAAAAAGAAAGCCGGTGCATCTGTCTCGCAAAGAAGCACAAGTGCATCTGTCTCGCAAAGAAGCACAATCACGCATAAACGCAGCAGCCGGAGAAAAACACTCGCCATACACCCTCTCAGCAGCAGCCGCAGCTCTCCTCTCCTCTTCGAGTCTGGCGCGACACAAAAAAAAAGAACAGAGGCTCCAAAGAGGGAAAACCCGAAAAAAAAAGCGGAGTACAACGACGATGACAAGGAGAAAAAAAAGCAACAAAGGCCAACAAAAAAGAAATCACAATAATAATAATACTGCGAAAAACACGCTGACGGTGGACAGAGTCCCCACCCCACCGCGCAATCGCATCACGCCTCCGGTGGCAGTGAGGCACGTGGCCGTGGCGGTAACTCGTGACGGCCACGCCTTGTCTTCTTACGATACGGGTCAGGCACCCTGCGCAGCCCACGCAGGTGGAACAGCCGCCGTGCCACGAAGCGGCGCCGCACCGACGCAAAATAAGTGACCAACGCGGCAGCCACCGCTACCACTCCGATGCCCACAAACAGCAGCGGCCCCCATCGCGCCCGCACAATGGGTGGCACACTTTCTGCGCCCCTCCAGACTACAAAATGCGCCACAACCGGCACAACCGCAACCTTCAGGGAGAAGCAAGCGGAAACAGAGAGCACGTCCAGGTGGTATAGGGCGTACAGATACATTAGACTAAAACTCAAATCCTCCATGGCCAGCAGACAGGTGTGCATCGCGTTGGCACGCCAAAACCCTGCAACAAGGCTGTCACCTGCGTCTGACGAGATTGAGTAGCCGCGAGACATGCCCATGATAAGCGTAACAAAAAAAAGTTTGATCCCCACCGCAACTGTGAGTCCCACCGTGCCACACAGGCCCCGCTGCAGTCCGTACGCCATGAGTAGGAAGGCGGTGGCGAAGAGAAGGCTGCCCCCACTCATGAGGAGGTTACCGTAGATTGTCTCCTTGAACGCCATCAGCCGCATTCCGTCAATATTGCACAGTACATTGCCGATAATGAGCAAAAACGATCCGCATGTCTCCACCAAAAACACTATCTGCGCCCGTGAGACGCGGTAGAGCAGAATCCACAGGCAATGCAACACGGTGGCCGTGAAGAACAGTGAGGAGCCAGACATCTCGTTTGTCAGCACCATTGCAGCGGTGGCGAGAGAGAAACAAGACGACGAGGCAAGCGTCACCCCGAGGCTCTTCACAAACACACTACGTGGCTCAGCAACGACCGTCATGAAGCCGCCCACACCGTCGCGCCGTGTGCTGCAGATCAACCACGCCACACTGTAGACGACGGAGAAGAACATACGGTAGGTGTACACCCAGTGCGCAATGGGGATGGTGTCCTGCGTGGTTGCCCCGCCCACGTTGGAAAACCACCTTAGGTGCACGTCGAAGGCGCTCTCCAACAAGAAGCCACACAACAGGGCGGCCCAGCTGGACCAATGCTGCCTAAAACGCAGCCCCAAGTACACCTCGTTGTCGATGCTGTACACCCAGACGTTGGTCACGATACGGCTCCCAAAGCGGATACGACGCGGCGGCAGTAGCGGTGACGACGACCCCACAGACGTAGGCGCGTTCCCATGCAGAGACGATTCCGCTGAGAAAATTCGAGAGAAATGCGAGCCGCTGCCGCGGTTGTTGGACTCTGAAAGAAACACGATGGGTGCCGCCTCCACCTCCGATTCCTCTCGCAGCTGCTGCTCCCTCTCCCAGCCTCCCGCAGCAGTGTCCTCCACGGCATATGACAGCAGCTGTGTCCTGCTTAACGCCTCCTTCGACAGGTGCCGTCGCAGCACGTCGAAGGCGGCATGCTCACTCCCTCCGCTTTTGCTTCCGCCACTGCTGGCCTCGTTATCACGCTCAGCGTGGGCACCAGTGCCATTGCCGCCGTCGCCACCACCGTCAGAACCGGTGCTGCCAGCGACGGCGCACTGTGACCACCGACAGGCTTCAGACGCGGTGTCGCCGCTGCTGCCACTGCTGCTCTGCAGTGCCCGGAGAAGATCCTCCACCCGCACATACATCTGCGCAGCGATCTGGTCCAGGTTCACTACACTACTAGTCCTACTACCTCGGCTACTGCCCTCATCGCTCCCCCGGCCATCCTCGGCGTACTCCTCCTTATCCTCGTGCATGCAGCCTCGCAAAAGGTCACCAGAACCCGGCGAATACGACAGCAAAAAGGGCAAGAAGGGCTCGGCTGCAGAGTCCCCCGCGGGGACGGACGCCTCCCGCGACGATAAGTCGTTTCGCATGCTAACAGACGTTCCGCCAGCCGGGCACTGTGCGTGAGCGATGATGTCAGAAGTAAAATGCAGGGAAGCCCTTCCCTCGTACTGCGCCGCAACAGCAAATTGGCGTCAAAAAAAACAGGCGAAGCACCTGAGGCAACGCGGAAATGTAAAGCAAAAGTCGAGTAACAATGACTAGGCAGACGCAAGCGGATGCCCACAGGCTCAACGAGAGAAAGAAAGGGAGGAGGGAAGAAAGGGGAGTGCACTCCCCTTTCTTCCCTCCCCTCCCCCCCCCCCAAAAAAAAAAGGAGCGGAGCGGAGTGGAGTGGAGAGAGGGCGAGAAAGAAAGCGACAAGCATTACACCGACACAAAAGTGCATCGCACGTGCCTAGAGATGAAATCAGTGAAGTAAAAGTAACAATAAATAAATGAATTCAATTCAAGGAAAAAAAAAAAGATGTATACTGTCAAACGAGAAACTCTCCGCTCGGGCACTTCACCTCCTCGAGTCGTGTGAAGAGATCCACCACCGCCATAGCTAGTGGCAATTACCAACATATTACCCCTACACTCCCCACCGCCTTATGGCCCGCGGCACAAGAGGCTCTTCAGCTCCGCCGGGGCCGACATGGCAGTGGCGCGGTCCATTTGGTGCGCCGGTGTGGCATCACGCATGCTGGGTAGTGCGTTACGCAGCGTGATGGCGGGTGTTGCCAGGCGAAACCGCGCCAAATCCCTGCAGCCCGCCCCGGCGACATCCTCGCCGATGTGGTTATTATTGTTACCACTACTTCCGGGCGTGTGGTGAACGTCATCGCGCTGGCGCTTCGGTTGGCTCCAACCCAACGGAGTCATTGCACGGGGAGCAGCCGCAGGGGACGAGAGCCAGCCACGCACCGCCGCGTTGGTTGGGCTCGGCACTACACTCGTCTGCAGAAAACTAGGCGGCACACGCGCCGTCATCCCCAGTCCGCTAACACCGTAGGCAACACCGCCGTTATCCCCGACCATCTGTGAATCCACCGGGCGCTGTGTCATCTGTTGTTGTTGTTGTTGTTGAGCGTAGAGTCGATCCTGCAGCCGCTTTATTTTGTTTAGGAGGCTTTCACGCTCTGTCTTCGCTGCACTGAGCTGGGAGGCCATGCTGCGGTTGCTTTGATTCAGCGTCGTCACAATCTCACGAAGACGCTGCAGTGTCTGATGCTCCTGCCGCCGCTGAAACTCGAGCGCCTGCGCGGCGACGGCCAGCACTCGCTGTGGATCCTGTGCCATGCGCTCCTGCAGCTCATTGGGCAGCGCCGCGCCCGCTTTGACAACTTTACACGGCTTGCGGCATCGTGGGCACTGCCCCGGTGGGTAGCGGGCGGTGCAGCGGGCGCACAGGAAGTGCTGGCAACTCGTGAAGAGGCTGTCTGCATCGCAGTCCGAGCAGCAAATGATGCAGCTTGGCCTAAATGGCATGGGCGCGGGCGTGGGCTGCAGAAAGCCGCCCTCACCCTTCCCTTCTCGCCCGCGCTAGACGCCCGCTCGTCGTTTTACCGCGTTGTGTGGCAACCACCTTTGGCTGTGCGCCGCTGCAGGGGCGTGTTCGTGCGGCACAGAAAAATAAAAAAAAATAAAAAAGATACGGTGGTGCACCAAAGAGGGCCAGAGAGAAGAAAAGAGAGCAAAAAAAAAAAAAAGCAAGCCCATGGCAGAAAAAATAATATCCTCAGCAACTTTACATCACAGCCCCCGCGGCCCGCAACGGAGGCGGTGCCTCACTCCTCATCCTTTGCCGCGCGGCTTTCCGCTACCTGCTGCTGCTGCTGCCGCTGCTGGTGCGCCGCAATGACGTCCTGAAAGTCCTGCAGACAGTCGCCAATCACGTGAAGCTGGTACAGTACATCCGACTCCCGCGCCTCAAACTTCCCGCGGCCAGAGTACGGTGCCGCCCAGGCGATGCAGCGGTCGTAGAGATTCTTACACGCCATTCGAACGTGACTCACCGTGCGGGAGGTTGCGACCCTCTGGTTGATGCACCGTTCAAGCTCGTCCTGCTTGATTTTAATGCTCTTCTGCAGTGTCTCGTACGTTGCCTGCAGTTCGTTGAGTTGATTCTGCAGCTCAACGCTCTCGTTGTTTTTTCTCTGCCGCTTCATGTTAAGGGAGTTCTTGTTACGCAGCAGTTCCTCCTCCAGCTGCGTCTTGCGCCGCTGCAGCACCTTCGTATTCTCCTGAAGCGTGTTCCAGCGATGAATGATGTCGCGGGGGCTTTGGTACTCGTCGCAGTCGTTGCGCTGCAGGACCTCCTCCAGGTACTGCTGGTACTTTGCGTAGAGGTCGTACTGCTTCCGCATCCCCTCCCGGCGGTTGTTCAGGGTGTTCAGCCGCCGTGTAAGCTCCGCGATCTGCTCTTCCCGCTCCTTTTTGATGCGTTCCTCCGTGACGGCCTTCCGCGACGCCCGGGTGCGTTTGATCTCGTTTTCCTGGATAAACTTGTAGTACCGCACGAGTTTGTCCTGGAGCCTGGCGCGATCCGCCGCGATGATCTCCTCCACCTCCCGCACCCGCGCCATGCGCACCATGTACAGCTCCCGCTTTGCGTCCAACTCCTTCTGCGCCTCCATCACCGCCCGCCGCAGCTGCGTCGCCGCCGTGATGCTCTCAAGTGTGCCCGACATCTAGCTTGTGATTTACGAGTGAGTATGTGAGGAAGTCGGCGTCTTTCTGTCCTCCTCCCCGCCCCCGCCTCTCTGTTGGCACAACTACCACCACTGCGACGCCTGCCGCCGGTGGCGAGGCGCCGAAGGGTGCGAGGAAAAAAAAAAGAAAAAGAAGCAGGAAAGATCCAGTAAGGCAGACGCCCGCATACATGCGGCGGTAGGTGCAGGGGTGTGTGAAGCTGCCTGGTTGGCACGCACAAGGCGAAGTACCGAGAGCTGCAGAGTAGTCCGGTGGGCGTGGTTGCCCCTCCTCCACGACGCCCCATTCACTTCCTTCAGCTCCTCCTCTTCGTCTGTTCTTTCATCCTCCTCGCACCCTTCACTGCAGTTCGTTGCGTCTCCGTTTCTCCGCCCTGCGCGCCGCATGCGCCTCTTCTGTTTCTCTCTCCTTCTCTCTTCGTCTCCTCCCTTCTGCTCCTTCCCGCCTATGCGTGGTATGATGGTGCAAACACCACTGACTGGTCCGACGCCTCCACCGCCGCCAACAATGAGCCCCGAGGAAAGCCGTCAAAAACCGCCAGGTGCGCCGCGTCGAGCTCTGCCACGCCCACCGGGATGATGGCGCAGGCGCCGCCGCGGCGGCCATAGTGGCACACGAGCAGATGGCCCGTTTCGAGTGCAATGTACAGGCGCCTGCCGCTGCACGCCATGCGCCGCACGCCGCCGCCGATCCCGCCGGCCACCCCCGTCGACACGAGGGCGATAACCTGGACGCCGACGAACGGGTTGACGTGCGCCACCGCGACCCCCTCTAGCCGCGCGCAGTGGAGAAAGAAGTGGTTTGGGCCAAGAGCCCGCGCCTTCGCCATCCGCAGCACCGGCGCCGCGGTGGGAACGACGGTCTCGACACAGCTGGGGAAGGCGATCATCACGACGGCGCACGCCCCGCAGACGAGCTTCACAGCAAACGTGTCGTCGTCGGCAAACAGGACGTCCTCCGTGGCCCCCTCCACCGACACGTTTGTTCTAAGAGACGAATTGGACGGCGGCAGGCGAATGTCGTGAAAGTGCAACGCGATGTGCTCCATGCTTCCGCACGCCAAGTAGCGCCCGTCGCGGCACGAAAAGCCGAGGCACGTCGTCGGCACATGCGGAGTGCAACGGTAGAACAAGCAGTGCGCCGTGCGGTCCACCGCCTCCGCCTCCGCCTCGCCCGCGCCTGCCGCGCCGTTTCTACTGCTGCCGCACCCGCCGTCGTAGATGGTGGCTGCAGGGGAGACGCCGAAGGAGAGGGACCACACCAGTGCCCCACCGTCGCAGCCCACCGCAAGCACGTCACGCGAGTGTGGCTTCCACGCGACGCAGCGCACGTTGCGCTGAAAGGCGTGGGTTAAAACGCACGTCTCTTTCCCCTCCGCGATGTCGTACACGACTACCCTCGAGCAGCCGGCACCCTCGTCAACGGCGGCCGCCAACACCATGCGGTCGGGGTGGAACGCCACGGCAGTGACGCACTCCGGGAAGTCGGCAGCGCTCAGCAGACGCGGGGCACATTCAGCTGAGGCGGGCACTGCAAACGGGAACAACAGGCGCAGCAGCGGCACTGCTGACACAAAAGGATACAGCAGCCACCGCACCGCCTTGCACACCTGTTGCCGCCTCCACAACGGCAGCGACAAGTGCGAGGACGATGCACGCTGGACGCCACGTCCAAGGACGTTTCTATTTGCGAGTGTCCACACCGGGTACACCGCGCCGCCCTGCGCCTCAAAAGAAGCACGGTGGCCGCTGCCGTACAACGACCCCGCAGACTCACCAAGCAGACGGTCCCCAACGACAAATGCGGCGGCGGCCCCAGAGGACAGTTCAAGCAGCGGCTGGTACATATACGGCTACAAAGTGGTGTGTGGGTTGCGATGCGGCTACTTGCACAAGAACGCGAAAGAAGCAGGGAAGGGGGGGAAATAAGGAAAAAACAATGAGCAGAAGGAAACACAAAACCCATGCACACGCACACACGTGGCCCGGGCAGGCGAGTGCACGGGCGCATTGCGGCGGAAGGGGTGCAGAAAGACGGCTGCCTCCCAGGCACCCGCGCACACAAAAAAGAAAAAAAACACGGAATTAGAAAAATAAGCGGAGGGAAAAGGAAGAAAGGAGAGACGTTGGAGTGTTTTGGCCGACAACGGACGCCCACGCTGCTGCCACTGTCTGGAAGGAGAGTCCCCACGCCTTTCCACGCCGGCACGCAATGCCCCCCTCATTTTTTATTTTTGCCACGTTGGCCACCGCCGCTTTTCTGCTGCCGTCCCTTCCCCGAGCCATTATTGGACGCCTCCAAGAGTTCCGCCACAAGCTCCAGCTGCTCCTTCTCAATCTCTGCCGGCCGTCTCTTTCCCCCCCGATGCCCGCCCGCTGAGGAAGGCGGTGGTGGCGGTGATGGCGGTGGTGCCGCTGCCGCGGCGTTCTGGTGGGGTGCAGTGGTCCCTGCCACAGCAGCCGCAGCTAAGTTCTGTTGGCGCACGAGCTGTCGGTTTGCCGCCACGTACAGGCCCGGATTTGGCCCCTTGAAAAACTTTTTCATGTGAAACGCGTCCTCCTCGTCGACGTAGTACCCCTTCTCCACGTTGGCGCAGCGGAAGCCAAGCGTGTCCTGGTACAAGTGCAGCCCCGCGTCGTTGGTCTTCCGAACGTGCAGGGAGCAGAAGTCGGCGTCGTACTCCTTTTGCATCTCTCGCATGGCAGCCAGCATCAGGCGTGACGCAATGCCGAGCCGGCGGTGGCTTCGCAGTACCGAGATACTTGTGATGTGGCCGTAGATGCTCTCCGGCCTCTCCTCCTCCATCTTTGCAAGCACATAGCCCACCACGTTGTGGTTGTAGTCCTCCTGTACGTACAGCAGCTGCGGGCAGGAAAGAATGTGGTAGAGGTAGTACCGCATGTTGTAGTTCTCCGGCAGGCACCGCAGGTTGCAGTGCTGCATCTGGTACATGTCCTCCATCGTCGCGCGGCGGAGCTGCATGCTTGGCGACAGGGTGGGTGCGGGTTCAGATCAATTGAATAACTCTGAGCAGCAGCGAGAGGATGCGGTGAGATACGCGACGGCACGTGGTGGGTGGGAGCACACACACACACACAAGGAGAGAGAGAGAGACCGCAACAGTCAGAACATTTAAAAGCAAGACAAAACAAAAAATGGGGGAACAAAAAAGAATTAAAACAAAACGAGTTCACAGGTAAAACAAAAAAAAGGGAGACAACGCAAGCAGTACGGTGCAGTGTACCTCACGCCCAGCATATATATATATATAGCATGAAAAGAAGAACGGGAGAGAAGTGTACAGTCGGACGCTGCACGCACACCTGTCCTACGTTACAGCTCCATGATCCTCCACGGGCCACCCTGGGCGATGGTGCAGAAGTAGCATTCGATGTACCTACACGTCGCGGCGGAGGCGCAGAACGGACTTTGCGCATCCCCTCTGCACGGCACCAACACCCGGCGCGCCACAATCACTAGCGATGCCTTCAGAAACTCTAGCGCCACACGACACGAGGCACCACTCACAAGTCCGCTCACTTGTAACCGCTGCAGCAGCTGCTCCTCCGTGATGCCAGGGGAATGGTGCACGAGGCCGTAAACGGCGAAGAGGAACGAGCGCCAGACAAATTCATGCAAAGAACCATCCACGTGGTGGAATATACTTGGAAATCGTGGCGATGGTGCTCCCTCTTGTGGCGTCACAATTGCAGCGCGTGCCATTGTCACCTGTTCGGCGGAGGGGGGCGGGTCGACGGGGATGTCGCGAAGCTCGAGGTGCCGTAACTGCTGCCACGGGCGAAGCAAACCGCGCGCGGGGTACGGCTCCGCGACGCGTCGCGTCGTTGCTGATGCTGACGCCCTTTCAGGAGTCACCGTAGGGTTAGCGGCAGGCATGCCGGGCGGAGGGGGCGTCTTACGTGCAGTGGCCGGGTGTGGTGGCCACACAAAGCGCGGCAGCCGCAGCACACCGAGCCCCTTCTGCTCCCGAATCTCTTCGGCGAGTGAGTCGAGATTCAAGCAGGGCTGTTCCACAAGGCGCGGAGCCCAGCGCAGCAGGTCCCACCCCTCCGTCTGCTCCGTCGGTGCGACCGGCGGTACGCACCACCGCTGGCAGTTTGACTGTGGGGTGAAGAGCAGTGAAACAGTGAGGTCCTGCACGAGGGTGGAGGCCGGGCTCTGACCGTGTGTCACGGTTGTCACCAGCGCCGCCGGCACAAAAGTAAGAATAGGCGACAATTCAATGCGCGGCAGCCGACCGGGACCACCCGAGCGGATGCGAAAGGACGGAAAAGTCAGCAGCCAGTCGATGCAGCGACGCTGTTCCTCCTCTGGAAACTGTGCGAGTAGAGCCTTCGCTGCGACGGCGTCATAGTGTGCCTCGTCACTCAGCAGGATCATCCGCAGGACATCCTGCAGCGCCTCCGACGGGGGCCCGTGGGGAGCGCTCCCGCGACACTTCTCCTCCGCGGCAGGAACACCGGTGGCATGCCGTTCTTCCTCCCCACATCCACCTCCCACCGCAGCTTCGGGGGCGGATGCAAAATTGGGTGACACCACTGACTGCACGACGGCCGCTCTCCCGCTCTGCCGGTCCCGCACCGCGCTTATGATGCTCTGCACCAGGGTCTGCATGCTGCCGTGCACGCGTGTGCTGTACGGATTGTAGCGCGAGAAATGCGCGGATTTGCTGTGGCGTCGCACAAGCACCTGAAGGTGTGCCAGGCCGCGGTCCGGCTCGTCGGACTGAAGAATTGTCTCGAGCGTCTCGGCCATTGTCGCCCCGTTCACCTCGACGCGGCGCCGCGGGTGGGGGGGGCGCTGAAGGTCATTGTGGCCTCGCTCGTACTCCTCGACCTGCATCGCGTCGTGGAGAGTGCGCTTCCGCGCGCGAAGGACGCCCTGACGCTGCAGGATGTGCTCCGCGAGGATTCCCGGGTCCATGCGCAGCAGCCGTGCAAGAGCAATCAGCTGCGCGTTCGACAAATTCGGCTCCGTCGCTGCGACAGCACGGATGAGCCCCACAGCGCGGTACGACTCGTGCGCTAGGCCCACCGCTGCCCACGAGTCGCTCCAAAACTTCAGCACCGCGCGACAGGTGTCTTGCGGTGTCATGCCGGCGTCGTCACAAAAAACGTGCTGGCGATGCTGCCCATCCAACGCGGTGGCAGCGAGAGCGATCGACACCTCCGCAAGCGGCACATCCAAGTAGGCCACGAGCGATGTCTCACTCACCACGAGGCCCTGTGACTGCAAACCAGCGAGGGAATGCAGCAGCGGCTGCACTCCAGAGCAGCGGCAGTGCTCCTGCAGCGAGGGGGGAAGCCGGCGGATGGGTGTCCCCCACGCACAGGCCTTCAGGGACGCCCCGCCAACGTACTCACCCACGTCCACGTCCGCCACGCCGACCGTAATACAAAAGGAGCTCAGGCTCATCTCCTGCAGCACCCGCTCAAGCGTCATTGGGGTGCTGGGCGCCTGCCCGAGGGTGCACCACACACGCCAAAGCTCTACATGCACTCGTGAAAGGCGGAACAGTCCAACCCGGCTGTAGCCGTTGCGCACCATCGTGACCTTGGCGACCAGGCGCGCGCTTCTTGCACAGGACTTCGCAATGGCGGCGGCGGCGGCAGAGTGCCCCATGCCACCCTCCGCCGGCTCTGGCAAGCGCTGCAGCAGCACTGTCGACTGCTGCCGCTTCTGCCCGCGGGCGGAAAGACTGTCAAGATACGACTGCATCAACGTCTCCCGCGCCTCTGCCGTCAACTCCACGCCGGCAATAGCAACGACGCCAATCCGTCTGCCCTTGGGGGACGTCATACCCGTCGTCGCCACCAGGCCCTGGCCGCGCAGGTACGGAATGACGCGACCCAGCGTGCGGCGGTCGACGATGCGCGAGATATCCGGCAGCACTAGCGCCTGAGCGGGGGCCGCACACAGTGCCTCCATGACTCTATTAACGGCCCAACTCGAGACCCCCTTCGCCAGCTTCGCCTCCTCCCCCTCCAAAGAAGCCACGCTGCCGCCGCTACCAGCACGGGCGTCCCCCCACCCCTTCGGTCGCAAAAGACGCGTGAAGGCTTTGCTGTGGCGGCTCAGCACGTTGGTGCTTTCAATGGTGCCCCAGCGTTCCTCAAACTGCCGGGTAAAGCGGTGCAGTTCGTTCTCGGTGGCCCGCATGTCGTACAGCGTGACGCGCGGCAGCACTGACTCCACCGCCAGCGGCCGCCGCTCTGCCTCTTTCGCCACCTGCAGCGCCAGCGGGCACGAGGGGTCGACGCAGAAAGGCACGTCGCCGCCGCCCTCCTCTTCGTTGCTTTCATCCCTGTCGTCGTCGTCGTCGTCGTCGTCGTCTCCATCGTCGTCGTTGGCATTCGATGCCTCACTCAAGTCTTCGTCGTCACCATCGTCACTATCGTTGTCAGATGCTACCGGACCCCTGTCGACGGCCACGACCCGCACCTGATGCCGCCTGTGCTTGACGAGAACAGACGCCACGACGATGCACAGGCCCACGGACACCAGCATGCGTCGCATTGCAAAACGCATCTTTCGCCCGTCCACTGCCGGCACCTCGTGGCCGTGGGCCGAAAATATGGCGTGAACGGCGTCCTCAAAGACCAGCCGCCGCTCCGGCGAGGCCACGACAATCTGTCGTGCCACCATGGGATCGATGGCGACACGTGGCGGCCGAAGTTCCGCACGACGCCGCTCTAAATATGCCTCCAGGGGCCGAAGACGCCGCTTCGGCTGATCGCGCCGCGGCGGGGTGGCAAAGTGCGGCAAAAGATACGGCACCAGCGGGAATTCTTCTGCCCCGCAGACGTACAGTACGCGCAGCCACTGCTCTCGCAGCAGCCGCCGGATACCAACCCCCAGGCCTGTCACAGCCGGGCGTCTGTCCTTCTGTTTACTGGCCGCGGTATTCTGAATGCGGCGGATCCCTGTCACAAGGTTGTCGCAGGCATAGTTCACAGCGGCGCGGACGTTCTTGAAGCGAAGCGACACACCCAACGTCCTTTCCTGTAAGGCCAGGCTGGGGCAAAAGGTGCACTGGTCGTACGCCACCGTGCCACTCGTCAGCTCGGACGGCGCCACCGTTTTACCGCCGCGGTTGACACTTACCTCGCCACTCACGCCCAGCAGGAGATCCAGCACCATCTGCCGCAGTGTGGCATGGTCCGCGAGACCGTAGTAAGGCAGCACGTCGGTGGAGACGAAGGAGAGAAGCTCCGCCCCGCTGCAGCCATACTGCTCGCTGTGGGAGCCAATGAACTCGAGCACGCACTCGAGGATTTCCCCAAACATGGAGGGACTAACAAACAACGTTTGTTACTGTTGCTGTCGTTTTGCGTATCGTTCCTCCTTCGTCGCGACCTACCCTCCCCTTTAAGAAAGGGGTCAAAAACTACCGCGCGCCGCACTGCTTCCTTGGGTGACGGTGACGGTGACGGTGACGGTGAGCATAAAATTAGTGGTGGCGCGCACACACACACCCCAGCAGTACCACCAAAAAAGAAAAAGAAAAAAAGACACCACCGCGTAAAAGCAGCCGCGTGCAGAAGAGCATAGGGCAATGCAATATGCGCAAAGCGGACGCATTCGGTGGCAGTGCCGCCGACCCCCTGTCCTTGTGTTTATGTGTGCGTGTGCATCTATATCCGTTCCAAGCCGGAGAGTCGTCTCTGTTGCCGCACTTCATTATCATTGCATATGTATTTTCCCTTCTCACGTCTCTGCTTGTTTCTGTTTGCTTGCGTGTTTAAAGGGAAACGTCTTCCCGCACTCCACTGGCCTTTTTCCCCACTGTAGGGGCAAGGCGCGTGGATTTAACGAAACAAAAACAAAAAAAAACATCTGATGGAATTGTAACAGCGGATGCTGAAGCAGCGAAACGAAGCTGAAGCGCAGCCGCAGCCGCTTCACGCGCTTCTAGTAGAGCCCGCCTCCACCCCATCGGTATCGCTGTCATCGTTATCGTCAAAGGCAGAAGCGGATGCGGACAGGGAATCACTGCTGCTGTTACTGCCGCTGCCTGTCGTTGCCGTCACGTCTCCCCCCTCTTCGTCCTCCTCCGCGGCCATCCGCCGCTGCCGCCGCCGTCCCGGCTGCTCTTCGTCTTCTTCCGTCGCGCCTGCTGGGGGAGTGCCTCGCGAGCTCCGCGCCCGCGGCAGCTGTGTGCTGCCCCTACTACCGCGGGTGGCCCCCCTACCGTCGGTCTCCACCTCCATCTCAGCCGCCTGCACCACCCCCGCGAGGGCACCGCATAATTCCTCGACGGAGCAACGCTGGCTGTTGGCAGAGGCCGCGTCCGTCGGCGGACCCTCCCACAGCGGTGCCTCACTCCGCAGCAACGCCGTGAGGTTCTGCCGAAACGCCACAGAGGCGGCGCTCTGCGGTTCACGGCGGGCGAGTGTTGTCAGGTGGTAGGTGTTGCCGCTGCGACGCCGCATTGACAACCGCCGCAGCTTCGCCCCATACAAGCCGTACTCGTCGCAAAGGAAGGTGCGCAGGTGCGAGATACAGAGAATGCCAAAACACTGCCACAGCTCAACGGCGGTGTCCTGCCTCGCCGTGTCATCACGACCGCCAGTGCCGCTTCTCCGCCTCACCGGATGCGTGGGGCGCCGCCGTGACTGCAGGAGAGACAGCTGCGCCTCCGCAAAGTCAAGGCAGCTCTGCCCCACCAGGTCCACCGCCGCGCGGCAGTTGTCCAGCACGTGCAGTACATCGCTTTCGTTGGTGTAGGGGAGGTAGGCCACAACCATTGTCAGGTGACCCAAGAAGGGAAACGGGGTTCGCGCCGACTCCCCGCCAGCCCTGCGGTGTTCCCGCAGCCACTGCGCCGCTCGCGCTTCTTGATAAAAGTACCGCAGAAGCGAGGAAAGAAACGCCTCCCGGTGACGCTTACGCAGTGAAGTGAAGAGATGGGCGTGCACGCACTCACCTGCCTGCAGGGAAGTGTCTGCGAGGACGGCGCTCTGCAGTACGTCAACGCCACAGGCGTCGTGAAGGTCAAACGCCCTAATGACGCCTGTGGCGGCATTGGCAGCAACGACGTCAGCGTACCGCTCACTTTGCGACGCCATACACTCCACAGCAACGTGCCGCAGTGCCTCGTTTTGCGGATCTGCAGCAAGAACAATCAGGGCACTTGCGTACCGCGACGGCGGTAGTAGTCCCCCCTCCGCGCATAGCTGCAGGACCTCAAAGGCCAGCTGACGCACCCCCACGGCGCTGACCTCGCACAGTTGCAGAATCTGCAAATGAAACTGCTGCATCACCCACGTCGCCATGCCACTGTTCTGCTCCTCCACGCACGGAGCAGCCTCAACATGCAGCCCATCATGTCTCCCTCGCTTTCGCGCAGTCGGGGACGACGACGAAGACGCGGCAGACGGCAGCGGCACAGGAGCGTTTGTGGCTGCCGCACGGTCAACTCGGGCGTCCTCGTCCTTCAAAAAGTCACGAATGAGGACAAGGCCCTGGGACTGCAGGGAGAGGTCGCCGGCGGGGTCGAGGGCACGCCGCAGATAGGGCTCGCAGCGACGGAAAAATATTGTCGGCTGCAGCATGCAGAGAGAGGCAAACACACGCAAGGCAATGACGGTTGTTCGCTCCTGCGCCTCTGCGGGGCACTCCTGCAGCACCCGCTCCACCGCCGCGTACACGTTCGCGCAGATGCCGCCCCCGAGTGCCAGTTGATTCGAAACGCCCGACCCACCCACCGCCGTCTCCTCGGTCAGCTCCTGGTGGTGCTGCTTCCACGCGGGATATAAGCGCAGAAATTCCGAGAGAAGAAAAAGAAAACGCAGCGTGTAGGCCACACTCTGCAGATCTGTGCGAAGCGACGGAATGAACGACATGGTGCGCACGTAGTATGTATTCATGAGAGAGTAGCAGAGGAGCAGGTACTTTGTGTTCGTGTAGCCCGCAAGGCCGTCTCCGCCACACGTGATGGTGGCCGCTAGAACGCCGCTGGCGGATACGAGAATCTGCTGCTGATGCGGCCCAACATACCTTGACAGCACGGTAGTGAGGACCCGTGCGAGTGGGTCCAGTGCAAGCGGTGGTGCGCGCGGCGCTAGCAACACCGTCCGCAGGATGCGGCACACATGTAGCAGCGTGACCCCCACCGCCTCCCTCTCTGCTACCTGCGACGACGATGACGGTTGTGATGGTGGTGGCGGCGGCGTGATTGACCGCGCGAGGGTCTGCGCGAGGACCTCCAACAGGGGTTCGACCCACTCACCGCATGCGAGGGCCAGGGCGTGGACGGCGGTGAGCGCGGCTGCCGCCTCTGGCGCGGGCATCAGTCGCTGGTGCTCCGCCCACAGCACCTTCGCGACGCCGATCATGACACCGCGCAGCTCCAGCGCGTCCGCCTGCGCGCTTTTTGCTGTGCGCCTCGACGTCCCCCGCCCCTCTGCCAGACGGCACATCCCGCGCAGGAGGGCGACAAGATGCAGCGACTCCGACGCCTCGTACGGGTACGTCATGTTCGTCACGGTAAGGCGTATCAGCTCCCTTGCTACGCGAGCCCGTACGGGGTGGCTGGCGACGTCGGTAACCTCCTGCCCCACCCACCGTCGTAGGAAGAGCCGCATCACGCATGTTTGATGTCGAGTCTCCTTTCCTGGCCCAACAAACGCAAGCAGCTTCGACTCCGTAAACGTCAGCAGGTTTTCGCCCGCCGCCAAGGTATCCAGCAGATGTCGTAGCGACGCGTCTGTAAGAAGGGTGTCAAGCGCCGCAATGGCGCGCGTAACGACGGCCACGCTGCGGTCGTTCAGAAGGTGAAGAAGGCAGCTGACGACCTCCGCGGCGGTCTCCTCCACACGGGCAACGGCATCACTCCTCCCGCAAGTCTCAGAGAACAACGTGAGAAACAGCGGGACTATGGCCTCCCGCACGCGCGCGCTATCATCGCGAACGCAGCGTCGAGCGATGGGCCAAACCTTCGCAAGCAGCGGTGGGTGCATTGCGGCGAGCTTCCCCATGTACTGGATGGCCTTCTTGCGTGCCAGCTCGAGCCCCGCGGAGTGCTGCTCCTCCCGCAGCTGAACCACAGACAGCAGCCACGACAGCAGCCGCTCATTCGCCATGGCGCTCAACAAGGACTTGTCGCAGGAGGCACACAACTGCGCGCTGCACGCATGCAAAATGCTCCATTCGACGGCAACGCCGCCATCTTGCACCTGCGTGGCGTGCACCAGTGCCTCCACCACGGCGTCTGGGAAACGATCCGCGTCCTGGATGGCCCATGTGTAGACGTGCGCCGCGCGCAGGTGCAAGACAGTGGCCGCAATATCAGGTGCGGGATCCGCAACCTGGTGCGAGAGAACCATGTAGAGCAGTGCCTGCCGCATTTCATCGTGGGAAAGCGGCACCTCTGTATCTATCGCCGCCTCGTCCGGGTGCGTGAGCTGCCGCCACTGTCGCAGCTGAGCGTCCGTCAGCTCACACGCCTCTGGAAAGACGGACTGCAGCACCGTCTGCTGCGTGGGGCCGAAAAGGACACAGGATACCCGAAAAATGGCGTCCAGAAAGAGCGTCCGCAGCCCTTCCGCTTCGGAGGCGGACAAGCAGTGATGTGCAAAGGATACAAGGAAAGCGCGCAGCAGCATGTCCGCCGCAGGGTACTCCGGCAGCCCCACCATGTTCGCCAAGTCCTCGCAGAACTGCAGGACAACGGCGCCGCACATCTCCCGTTCTCGCTTGTCGTCGCGTTCCTCAAGCAGAAAGTGCTGAAAAAACATGTTTGACCACACGCGGCATTGCTGCTGCAGGCGTTCCGCGGCACCTCGTGTGACGGCGCCGTTGCCGACGGGCGTCGACTGCGCCGCGGCCACCACCGCCGGTGTGAGTGCCGTTACTTTCACCCCCGACGGAAGCAGGTACAGGCGCACCAAGAGATTTTCGCCCTGCGGTAGACGGAGAAAGAAGCGCTGCCAGGTTGCCTCGCGCTGGCACTCTAGCCGGTTCCATAGGGCGCTGTAGAGGTGCAACGCGTGGCTCAACACGTACGCGGCGTAGTTGACTACCTCCTGCCGTCCGTAGGTGCTGGTAACGACAAAGAGGCACTGAAAACAAAGATCCTCCAAACGCAGCAGATCCCCATGAGCGCAGAGGCGAAGCCGGGTGTCAACGAGCATCAGGGCAAAGCAGCGCAGCATCGTTCGTAGGCACTCAAGCTCCGTCCCGGCACCGGCGTCGTCCGGCACGTGCCCTGATTGCCGCCTTCGGATGCGGCGGAGGAGGGCGGCAAGGATAGTGATAAGGCGGTCCACCGCGTCCTCGGCGAGCACCGATGGATCAAACGTGGGGTGGGCAATGCATGCACAACAGGTCACGGCCCGCTCCATCGCAGCCGCGGGAAGCGCAAAGTCCGCCGAAGACGTCGCTGTAGCCCCCGGCAGTGTTAACAGCGACGACACAAACGCTGTGAGACGATCCGCAGGGACGTCTTTAAAGGGCTGCGGGGCATCCGATAACAAGCCCAGCAGCGACGCCAGCGCGCGGGGACCCTGCACCCCCGCGTCAATGATATCCGAAAGGGTGGAGGGGCCGTACGACTCTGGTGTAGGCCCGGCATTGGCGAACTCGGCATCGTGCAGGTGACCTGGAGCGATAGAGCTGAAATTCGGCTCGCGCTTTGGCACCTTCACGGTTCGCCTTGCCTCCTCATTTTCCTTTTCACCACAGTCATCGAGAGCGGAACGCGGGCGCAGCGTCATGTGACATTCCGCATTGTGTACCCACCGCGCCTGCTTCGAAGGTGCCTCAGCGTTGCGCATCTCACTGATTCCGTGAAGTCGATCTATCTCTATCCGCAGCAGCTCCTCATGGATGCGCCGCGCTAGCGGGGAAAGGTGTGATGCATTTTGCGGCGTGCTGCCGTCTCCACCACCCTCTTCTTCTTCCCCCTCCTCTGCGGCAGTGCGGCGCAGTGCCATGTAGCTGCTGGACGCCATAAGAGTACGGGCGGACTCCATGACAGTCCCTTTTACTGCGTGGTCCAACGCGTGCGATGTGCCACGCGCCACTCCGCCGCTGCGCTCTGGGGGTGCCGATGTCGCCAGCAGCTGCGGCATCGGAAACGCCGACAGCACCTCCAAGAGTGGGTCGACGGTAGCCGAAACATCCGGCGGAAGCGGTACGGCGGCGTCGTGCGTAGAAAGCATAACGTGAGAGTACCCCACACCTTTTGTTTTTGCGTTTTCGGAAAAAATGCGTGTTGACGAAAGAAAACCAAAACAAAAAACGACAAAGAGAAGAAGGCCCCCGAGAAGGTTTACTACACAAATGCACCCACCCACGGAGGCTGCTGTGCCGACGCGGCCAAGAGGAGGGTGTCTCACAAAAATTTTTATACAGGTACGTACACCGGCAGCAGTGAGGGCCATTGAAATCAAAAGACCCCCCCCCCCCAAAAAAAAAGGAAACAACACACACAGACAACAACAAAGAGAGAAGTTACGAATCCTCGGCAATCTCGGCTGGGGCAGGAATGAAAGATGGAAGCACGGCTCTACACGCGGCGCGTACCTCCTCGCCCAGGGACGGTTCAAGCACACACGTATCCTGCAAAAACTTCCTAGCGGCGGCCTGGACCTTTTCGTCGGTACGTGTAGGAATGCGTGGCAGGGCCCCGCGCTGGTGCCAAGTGACGATGACGGGAAGCACTTCCTCTACGACGCGCCGCGAGAGGAAGTCGGTGGCCAGCGCAACGAGTGCCTGTAGCCCCTCCATCGCCGCCATCACCGCCGGGGTAGGCAGCACGGCTTCAAGCGCCCGGCGCTCCTGCGCCGATAGCCGCCTCGCTTCGCTTGCGGCGGTGAAGCCGGCCACGGGCTCCGCAAGAATCGCCAAGAAAGAGAGATACACCTGGTACACCGTGCGCAGGTGACTGCGCGGAAGCACGCCCGCGGCGTTTGGGTCCCACTCAAACACGGATGGTGGCTGCCCACCCTCGCCGCCGTCCTCCGCATTCCGCACCCACGTCTCCGCAGCGGGGGTAGTCAGAAACACGGTGAGGCCGCGTGTGAGGGCACGAATTGCGAGAGGCGCGACCACGTCATTCCGCGTGCAGTATGCCAGCAACATCTGCACCGCCTCGAGAACTGTGAGCTGAAGAATTTGAACGCGCGGCTCTGCCGCGGTGGTGAGGCAGTCCTGCTCCTCGTCGATCCCGAGTTGCGGGACGGACCGGTTGAGTGCCGCAGCCACGCTGAAGCATTCCGCGAGCAGCGCGACGGAGGCCAGCGCCCCGGCGGTGTCTTCCTCAACTGTCGCGCGTCGGCAGCCGTCGGCTGCAACCTTCACGGCGGTGGCGACAAAATCGGAGACCTTGGGCACGGCGGAGGCTACAGACACAACTGAGGTGGGGCCGTCTGCACACGGAACGTCCACCCACTGCCGCGCTGTGGCGCTCCTCACCCCCTCCTTGCGGGAAACTGACAGGAGTTTGCTCTGCAGAAAACCAACGCCGCCGCGGAGGACATTAGCCGCGGCGGCGCGAAAGTCCTCCTCTGTGACAGCGCGCGCGGCCTCGTCAACGATGTGGGCGCTCTGGTCCAGAAAGAAGGCAAGGGTGTCTGGATACAACCCCGCCTCCCCGAGAGCCTGCATGACGCGCATGGCGGCATCGTGCACCACTGCCGGGCCAGTCGCCTTTTCCAGCACAAGATACAGCAGCAGCAGGTTCAGCCGCCGCACGGCACGCCGCCGCCTCGCCTTATGCGTCACGGGCTCGTCACGCAACACCCCCGCGGTGAGCTCCAGAAAGCGCAGAATCGTCGCCGCAACCGTCTGCCGATGATGCAGCTGCTGGTACGAGCAGAGCTGCTCATCCTCCGTGATGTTCCAAAGGTGCGGCTGGGCAACAACGCTCCAGAGCCGCTCAAACATGCCGGAGAGGACAAACTCTTCCGCCGGTCTGCCTCGTTCCTCCCCCGTCACCCCCGCCGGGGTCCTAAACTGCCACAGCACAAGACGCGTGAGGACGTACACGGTTGGCGGGTGCAGCATGTAGAGATCCCAGTCCGTCAACGTTGCCTCACATTCACCCATGAAAGCCTCCAATACCGGCGTCGCGAAGACGGCGCCCCCTGCAGGATCTGCTGCGTTGGCTGCAGCCGTCGTTAATGCGTACGCGACGGTCTCGAGGAACGCATCCACGACTCCACACGCGTGACTGCGTGCGGTGCCCGCATTGTACAAGTCCTCCACGCTCATATCAGTCCCTGCCACCCGCACACAGCGCTGCAAGACGGGCAACAGCAGGTGCTCATTATGTTCCCCCGCGAGCAACGCCGTTGCACGTGTGGCCCTGCAACGTAACAGTGCCGAAGCAAAGTGCAGCAGCTCCACCCCGCGCATCTGCCGCAACTGTGACTGCAGCACCCCCACCACCACGGGTTCCTCAAAGAAGACGCTCGGTATTTGCGCAACGGGCTCCGCAACACCACCGCTAAAAAGAAAATGCACGTTTGAGAGCACAAACCAAGCGACGACAACCTCCCGCATCAGTGGTGCCGCAAGAAATGTGCGGAGTGACGGAAGCAGCAGCAGCTCTGTAGTAAGCCGCAGCAACGCCTGTGTGAGTGGAGGTCGCCAGTGCCCCACGCGCTAGCCCGCGTGGATCCAACACCCGCGTCATACTGCGCCCCAAGTGTTCCACGGTCCCCTGCATCCACGTCTTGTCCTCCCCTTGTAGCACCAGCGAGGAGGTCAGCGAGACCCGCAGCAATTCTACTGCCCCTGTACGCACGGCAACTGCGTCGGTACCGTGGTGCGCACGATCGATGTACCTCACACACGCCGAAACAATTCCAGGAAGACAGAGCCGCGTATTCCCACAGCCGATGGCCGTCACCACGGCGACACACGCGCGGAGACTCTCTACCTGTAGCTGCTGAAACCAAAGCTGCCTGGGGCCTGACAAGGCCCCCAGGAGCTCATGGATAAAGAACGCGGCCTCCGTGTGATACGACGCGCTCTGGAAAAACATGCTGTGGCGCCGCAAACCCACACCGTGCAACGCCCCTACGGCCCGAACAGCCAACAACTTATCGTCCTCGGTGGAGGCCAGCGAGCTGGCCGCGAGCCTCGACGGACTAGACAGTGCCTCCGCACCGCGGAAAAGGCGCACAAACTCCTGCTGGAGGAGCAGTGTGAGCTCCTGCACATTCTCAAGCTGATCTGCCTTTTCTGCAAGGTGGCACAAGACACTGGCTGCCGTGAGGCTCATCCGCACACTCCGGTAGATGCTTACTGCCCCGACCCCCCTCCCACGCTCGCGTGCTCAGACTCTTTAGACAGAAAGTCACACACACACACACCGACACCAACAGTCAGACAGACACAAGTACCTTACTCCTTGTCACGTGGTGGTCGTGGAAAAGTTGAGAAAAAGAGAAAAAAATGAGCAAATACATAACATAGATACACATCGAAACACAGTGAGTACGGCAGAATAAAGCCCTGCAGTTTGAGAAGGCAGGAAATACAAAGAGGAGGTTCCCAAGGAAAAAAACAACAACAATAATAAGACACCCCCTTCCTTTCTCATTTCCACCCGCTTATATGTCTGCCGTCAGCAGTCACACAATTTTGCTCCGGCCCTTAAAACAAATCGTCATAGTCGTCCACGGCATGCCCAAAGAATTTCGGCGTCTCATCGTACATGGCACTAAAGTAATGGACATAGTGATGCTCAATTTTTCGTCAAGCAAAGGTGTACTTACATGTTATAACGCCGTTGGCCAGAGTGCACTCCTCTATAAAGGCAAACCGGTGCACGTGCGCCCGCGCTGGCAGCCCCTGCGAGACGCGACGCAACTCTGCCCGAATACAATCTGCCTTCTCGCGCTCGCTCACAATGAGCACGCCGTCACGGCGTTCCACCTTGCGCAGGTGTGATGGGATGGCCTTGGCGTTCGTGACCACCAACGCGGTGGGGTAGGGACGATTTTCCCTGTGCAGAAAAACTTGCCGAATAAACGGGCTCTTGATGAATGTCCCCTCCACCTCCAACGGATCTACCACGGCGCCACTCGCAAGCATGATGAGCACGTCCTTGCTTCCTTTGAGTGTTATCCACCCACCCGCAACGGAGCCGTAGTCGCTGGTGCGCACAAACGTCCTGCCGCCGCAGGCCACGAGGGAGTTATTCACCTGCTCGGGGTCGATGTGGACGTCAAAGTACCCCTGCATGGCGTGCGGGGCCTCCACGAGCACCTCGCCGATGTCCCCAGGCGCGACAATCTCGTTTTTTTTTCGTTCACAACACGAATCTCAACCGCCGGAAGCGCCTTCAGACGGAGCGGCACGTCAATGTCAGTGGCGATGAGGCCCCCTGCCTCCAATGCGCCGTAGGTGCCCACGGTAAATACGTCTAGGTCCGCCAGCAACTCCATCTGATCCCACGTCAGCTGGCTACCAACGATAAAAGCAATACGCAGCTCATTTCCAAACTGTTCCTTAAACTTTCCAAGCAACACATGTGATGCGGTTCGTAGTGTGTGGCCTGGCTTCTTCAGCATGAGTCGATTCTCCGTGATGCGGCCCAGCGTAAACCGCGCCATATCCTTCGTTATACCTCCACGATTCATGATTTTGCCCACCATATTGGTGTAGGCCCTCTGAAACGGCAGAGCAACCGAAGTAATGACACTCGGTTGCACCAACGCAAGATCTTGAAACCCCTCCAGTTACTCAGGCGGAATGCAAATGCAGGCTCCTTTACAGATTGACTGATAGAGCTCAACTGTAAGTGTCCCAGCAATACACCAGGAACACAACGACATAAATAAGTCCGTATGTGTCAGAGAGTCACCGACGTGGGCGTAAATGGAGCCAATATTTGCCATCATATTTTGGTGTGAGAGCATCACACCCTTTGGAGGCCCGGTGGTGCCTGCGGTTAACATAGTCATGGCAGTATCCTCCGAGGTGATGTCTTTGCGTGGAACGATATTCTCTGGTACATCCGCAGCTATGTTGATTACAACAGCGTAGATGCTCTCACCCAGCTGGTCCTCAAAGCAAATCACATGTTGCAGCTGCCCCACCTCGCCAATCCACCCCTTCATGGCGGCGTAGGAGGAGGCGGACTCAACGAATAACACCTTGGCCTGCGTGCTCTTTAGCACGAGTTGCGCCCCCATGGGAGTCACATTGGTTGGCAGAACCACCAAGTTGACGCCAAGCTGTAGTGTGGCAAAGTGCACAGCCACCCATTCATAGCGGTTCTCACTGATAACGGCAACTCGCGAACGTTTGTCAACCTCATCTTGTGCAACAACGTCCTCATGGCAGCCATCTCCGCCCCAACAGACTCATATTTGGCCCACACGTACCTCAGCTGGCCACGCGTCCACATCTTCGTTCCAAGAAAACGCCGCGTTGGCCACGTCTTCACGGTTTGGCTCCACAATTCAACAAGCGCGTTTTGTGGCTTAATCACAAGCCCCAGTCACATGTCATTGTTTATCGACCCCCCAGCAGCTACATTTGATTCACCGTAGTAGGTGCCAGCCACATTGGTGCCAAAACGGTACGATATTTGCAGGGCGAACCCGCCTCCTATGCGGTTGCTCCTAGTAACGCGGTCAGTCAAGGTCAAGATGCATGAGTAGAGTCGCATTGTATTGTCTCTGTTTTCCCCTTCACCTCCGCTTCTTTTTTTCGTGTTTATTTTTTTGAAGGATTTGCTTGTTCCTGTTCTCTTTTTTGCGCAGTCTCTATAACCTAGCAACCGTGGCAACAGCAGCCGATGCCGCTAGAGGCTGCGTCTAGGCACAAAGCATGCAAGGGACAAAAGCAGCAGCAAAAGCAGCTTTGACAAACGAGAGGCCAAGAGAAATGCCACTGGTGAAGCACAGAGGCACGCACTTGACAGATATCACTGCTCCTTTAAACGCGGCACCTGCATTCATCTCCGCGTGCTGCAAAACGTACATGGCGAACAGAACCAGGCAGCTAATACAATAAGCATTTAAAAAATACTGTTTCTTGACATATGAGAGTTAAAGGCAGTACGGTAAAACATGTGCGGAGTTTCCCTCCTAACTTTTTGATTCTTGTTTTTTTCTTCTTCTTCTTCTTCTTCTCTCGCTCCTTCCAGTCGTAGTAGTTCAGGGGTATTGGCAGGGCAGCGCCCTTCCCTTGTCTGTTCCTGTTGGCGCTTCGTCGTCGTTCCCTTTGAGGGATGCGCATGAGATGAAGCCCCGACGCACGCGTGGGCGAACCTGCTTTTTCGCGAAGGAAATAAACCCGTACATACGCCTCCGTACAACTCCTGCTTACTCTTGCTCTCTTGTTCTCTCGCTCGCTCCTTCCATCTGCTTCGGTGATGTCTCTACATGTCCTCCTCCGCCTCCTCTTCCTCCACCTCGTCTTCAGAGTCCGGCCCGGGTGGCTCCTCGCCGCGGCGAACTAACTTCTCCGTCGCCGGTGTGGGGTCGTTTGCCTCCGTGATGTCAGCGCACTCTGGGAGCACCGGTGGAGCGAGCGTGGGTGTGAAACTGAAGTCAGTCTTCTTGAGTCCGTTTCCAAAGTAGACGCAGCCCCACCTTTTGCCGCCATCCGCGACGAACGCGACGGCGCCTGGCCAGCGCAACGAACGAACCAACACCACGCGGTGTTTCTTGCTGTTGTTGTTCACAACCCGCACCGTCCAGGCGGCAACCTTCACCTTCGTCGGATCGTCATCGGGTATAGCTTCATCCGTGACCGGCTTTGGAGGCATGTCGTCGTCGCCTTCATCTGCCTCCGCGGCATCTTCCGCCTCGGTGGCTTCTTCTTCCTCCTCCTCCTCATCCTCCTCGTCCACTTTCGGCGCCTCCGGGGTGTTGATGACTGCATACAGAAAGTCGGAGTTAATGGGGGTAAATATCTCCCTCTCCTCCTCCTCTTCATCCTCCTGCTCCTCCTCATCCTCCTCATCCTGTTGTTGCTGCCGCTGTAGCTCCTCAGCCTCTTCTTCTTCTTCCTCATCCTCCAGCTTCTCTGGAACCTTCGTCTGCCTACCATTGGCGTAGATGTAGCCTTCTGCGTGAACCCACTGATCCAGCTTTGCCCACTGCGCAACGTCCAAATCCTCCTCCGAAGCGAATCCCTTTACTACTTGGGTTAGTGGGCGGTATTTCGCCTCCTTGAGCTTCCTCGCGTTAGCCCCCTCATCCTCGTCGTCGTCCTCCTCCTCCTCAGCGTCTTCCTCAGGTTCCTCAAGTGCCCCCAATGGGGCGATGTACGTCCCACTGGCAATACGGCTAAGCTGCACACGAAGGTAAATAGCCTCATTCCATTCGAACGGTGGGCTAGAGATGATAGCCGCATTTAAATCACCCGTAAACAATCGCTTAATCCGCCTCCCTGCCACAATCTGCTGCGGTGTGACATCTGGAAGCAATTTCCATTCTGCCGCAGGATGAGAAGTTACCCAAAATGAGAGCCGATTCACCCCAACAAAGCCAGGTTCAGGCTGCACAGGAACTTCCAACTTGCGTCGCGCCGGACGAGGCATGGTGTTGACCTCCTCGTAAACTTTTTCACCCTCTTCGAGGTAACGCTGACTGGAAACCACGTAGTAGTCGCCTTTTGTGCCAAAAATCTTTCCAAAGAAGCGAACTTCTCCCAGTTTCTTTTTCATTGCCAGCGTCGTGATGGATCGGTCAAGTAAAAAAGCTTCTTCCTCCGTCACACCATATCCAGCCCAGGCCCAGTAAAGGTTCTGCTGAGCAACGGAGTCATATGGAGGAGCGCTGTAAGGCTTTATCCGCGTTGTCGTTACAGTTGTATAGGGATCGGGCTGCTCTATCGTTGTCACTGCTTCAGGGGGCCGACGCTCAAACAGGCGTTCATTGTCTGCAAGACGTGAGAGCTCGGACGGTGGGACCAGGCACGGCTCGTTGCATGCAGGGGTACTTTGACCGTTCACAAAGCTGTGCTGCTGCAGAAGTGTAAAAACGTCGTTAAACCTCGAGGGATCACCAGCAACGCCATGTGGGTCGTCGTCCAGCAGCTGCTCCATCAGCCGGATGAGCTGGTCGTAGACGCTGACGCCGTCCTTGTTGGCGTTCATCAGGTACGCCTTTGCTCGTCCAAACATTTCCTCCATATCCTCTACGAGGGGTTGAACGGACATTTTCTTCTTTTTTTTTCCCCCTAGTGTTGCTGTTGCGAGACCGGATGTATGTACACTTCCTTCACTGTCTCCTTCTTGGCGCTTCCTTTCTGTTTCACAACCCTCTAATCGCCGCGAAGGCCGTCAAAGGCAAGAGCAAGGAAAAAGTTCCCTTGTGGGTGCGTGTGGGTTTGTTACGCAGGTATGGTGAGGAAAGAGGCAAAAAAAAAAAAAATCGTACACAGCACAAGCAGGCATCCCAAAAAGAAAAAAAAGGCAAAGAGGGGAGGCAGAAAGAGGCACCAAACGGCTCAGAATAACCACCCAGGGGTCTCTCAGCATTCAGGATAACGTCGCAATGCATTTTTCGTTTATTTGCAGTTGGTCATTGTTGTTGTTTTTACTTCTTTTCAAATCATACATAAGGGCAAATGACAAGCTTAACCGATTCGCTGATTGATCCGTGCGACATACTTTGCAATCGAAGGTTCAGCCTCAATAACACTGCTCTGTTCGAGCTGCTGTAGAGCCTCCTTCAGTCCCGATGACAAAAACTTCTTTTTGCACTCATCATACGCACAAAAAGAGCCTATGGTAATAAGCGCTATTTTTCGCAGCCCCACCTTGTCCTTCTTAAGAATACGCAAAAGGGCCTCCACAACATTGTCTCCCATCAAAGCAGAAGTGAGGGAGCCCCCATTGCGCACAAAATTGCTAACCGCACCGGCAGCGTTTTGTCTCGTTTTCTCGTCACTACTGGACAAAAGTTTTACAATGACTGGGATAGATGGCCTAAGCAATTCATACAAAAAATCGTTATGAAACGCTGCGTTGCCGGCCGCAAAGGCCGCAAACTTTTGCGTTGTTAGATCCTCGTCGCTACAGCGCTCTACAAGTCCCTCTATTAGCTTGTGGTTCGCCAAAGGTTCATAGAAGTATGGAGAATGCTTGCACAAGTTCCCAAGAAGGTTACACATTTTGCTTCGAAGAGCCCCATCTCGGTGTCGAAGAAGATCTAAAAAAGTTTCATACAAATTTGCACTATGAATAGGTGGATAAAATTCCTTTGATATCCGAGCCAGTTGGGAAAGCACATTAAGTCCATCAGAAACAAGACCATTGCTCGCCTTTCTTGAATCCAAGACTTTTCTTATTCGTTCAGGTTGTAGACCACCACCTTCTACAAATGCCTTGGCGAACATGGGGGAACCCATCACTAACTTTATGATGACCGTAAATGGTGGACCCCAAAACGCCACTTCCGTGTAATCAAGCGCAGCAATAAGCATTTCCATGACCCCTTCCTTGTAAAGAATTTGCTGTATGGCGGCAACAGTTCCAGCCTCCGCGTCAGCGCCTTGCTTTGCTGGCTGAAAAGTCATCAACAAAATCTGAACAATTATTCTAAGATGAGCATTTACTCCCATAGTCCCCCCCCCTTTATATTCAGGCCACAACTGAAACTGTTTGAGATAATTTGAGCGTAACTGACGGCAAATAATGGTCATCACAGAAATTGGGCCACCGCTTTCTCCACTGTAGGGTTCTACAGTTTCTAGCAAAAGACTCATGGAGTGCAGTCCTTCTTGTTGATACTGCAAGGCCTGTTGAACACAACGAAGAGCAGCCAACACACCATTCGGTGATAATTCTACGTTGGAATCGCTATCACGCAATAACGTAATTACGGTACGAAGTGATATTTTTCTTTCATCATCAACGAGAGTTTGGGTTGAAGAATTCAAATTTTTTTGATACATAATTGAATTTGGATCCGAAAATACAACTGACAGCATATGCATTACACCATCTAATAAGCCGCAATCAGCAAATCCGTAGCTTGTGCCAAGGGCACGTGGTGCCACATGCCGGTCTGAGATTCGGCGCACACCTTCTACGATAACACGTAATCCATTCATCAATACGGAGTCTGGTTCAAAAACAATGGTGTCCTTCATTTCCCGATGCACAAAGGCTACCAGAAGGGCGGCTGCAGCAGCACAGTTAAGGGCCGCGATATTCTCCCCTGTAGATGAGTCATAATAGCAAACGGCCGTCAATCCGATAGAGACAAACGCAGACACCTTTTGCGCATTTATTTGATCTGGGGAAGACAATTTTATATGGGGGATCAACACTGAAACAGTGTGAAATGCAACTGCCACGTAAAGTTGAAAGGAGCCTTGTACTTTTACTGACGATTCCTTTACAGAATCAAGCAAAGAGGCCCAAAAAATGGGGAACGTCTTCAATTTAATCAGTGCAGCTCCAAACCCAGTTCCCCATTTGACACATTGAAAAATTACCTTCACACAATCCTCACGAAGATTATTCCGATTCTCAATTACTTCGCGTATCATAAAACCAAGTGTCTCCTGAGGCTTTTCCATCAGTTCTAAAGCGACTTGTTGTCGTATAAGAAGATCAAACGGTGGAAACTCACTTCGTTCTTGCAAAGCGTTTACCATATTTTCTGACGGATATTGTGCTGGAAATGAAAAAACAGATCCATTTTCGGGGAATACAAGTATCCGAATAAATTGTAAAGCATGGCGAACTACATCTACCGTTTGTTTATCATTGAGTCGCCTTAATGTAGGTCCCAAAATGCCCAATTGCGGAATTCGTTCCAGCAATGCACTATTTTGCAGAGGCGATGATGTTAATGTCTCAGCTGCTCTCGTAAGCCCTTTAAAAGTTTCAAGCAATTCATGTGAATCAGTTGAATAGGAAATAATTTCTATGGAAGGGGAAGAAAATAACGAGCCTTCCTTAGAATCCAAGGAGGGCTGTTGCAAGACCACAGTAGTGCGAGGTGTATGCCCTGAAGGATTCGTTTGAAATCTGCTTGGTTGAGTGCAAAGCCGAAAGCAGTCCAATCTCTCCATACGTTCTTTCATTTCCTTCTCGTGTTGCTTAATTAGTGTCTGCCACTTTCCATCCTCCGCACTAAGGGCGACAAACTGATGATTCAATAAGTGAGGCCAATTTAGTCTCGCAGAGAAGGACTTTGTTAAAAGACCCTTCAAAAGGGATTTGAAATCCGATGATATAGGATCCTCAAATTTGACAGGATCATTGACAATTTGATTGATTAACTTGTAAAGATGGTTTGTGTAGAATGGTGGTTTACCATAGTATAGCTGATACAGAATACACCCAAGCGACCACAAATCTGCACTGTGGTTGTATGGTTGTTCTTGGACAAGTTCCGGCGCCATATAAAGGGGTGTTCCCTTAATACTCGTCAGCACCATCGTGTTATAACTCATCGATCTGGCAAAACCAAAATCAGCCAATTTAACTGAGCCATTCTGACCAATAAGAATGTTCTGAGGTTTCATGTCTCGATGCATAATGCGGTTAGAATGTAGATAATGAAGTGCCTGGACCAATTGCTTTGAAATACGCCGAACAACATCTTCAGGAAGTTTTTTGTCGTCCTCAAGAATTTCAAATAGTTCTCCTTGAGCATACTCCATCACCACAACAAATTCCTGCTGAGTTTCAAACGCTTCAAGCAAGGTTATAATGTTATCATGATCAAGCTTTGTCATAATTTCAATCTCGCTACGAAGGTTTAAAAGCTCCTTATCATTCTTGCCTTTTTTCACTATAAACTTCATGGCTACAACCTGGCCAGTCCCTTTCCGTCTCGCCTTGTAAACCTTGCCAAACGACCCCTCCCCTATTAACTCAACTATTAAATAATTTTCCATCTTCAGTACTGTTTTATAGTCAATAAAGGAAGAGAGAAGAGGTGAAAATAGAAAACACATCAAATAAGAAGCACAAAAAAAAATCACGGAAAGCCAGTAACATAAAAAGAATGTAAAAAATACATTCATTATGAATGTTTCAAACCAACGCAATCCAAAGGTCAATCCTTTCATTGGATTTGTATTTCCTACAGCTGTATTTCCCTTAAACTTCTGCCCTCTTTTCTTGACAACCAAAAACGAATGGCTAGAGGACTAGCACAATAAAATAAAATCTAACCACCAGCAAAAAAAAATCACTTTACAGCATTTTCATTTCCTTCCTTCTCAAGTTTCTTCGTTTCTCGAATCTTTTGCTGCTCTTCATACTTTTCGTTGAACCCGGGCGCCTTTGTGACAACAATTTCAATCTTGTCGACAGTGTTGTTCCTCGCGCCCTCACCTCCCCCGCGTGAAGTATTAATTTTCTTCACAACAACCATTTGTTGGTCCTTTAGCATTTCAACGACTGAAACGGCTTCATTAATGGCCTTTCCAAGGGCAGAAACGCTCACCTCCTTTTCGCCATCATGTAACAGGTGCTTGGTAATATCGACGTAGAGGAACTTTGAACCATGAAATCCCACACGAACCGCGTTCTTGGGTCGCTCAGTATTTTCAGCAGACATCTGCGGGTACTGTGGGGTGGATTCTTTCTTTTACTTGAAAACTCGTGTTTTGCTTGAAAATAGAAAAAAAAAGCTTGGGGAATGTAGCTACTCAATATTTTAAAACCCCTGTCAAGCAGAGGAATGAAACAAAAAAAAACATAAACAAAAACAAAAAAGTGCAACGCCTGGTAAGGCACTCTGTCCACACAAAGGAAGAAAGCAAAAAAAAAAGTTCCATAAAGCAAACCCGTCTTCTTACGTATGTCTTATATTCCCCTAAAGCTTAGATAATCACCTTTCTCCAATCATTTTTTGCAATTTCAAGCATGTCCCTCAGACACGTATAAAATCAAAACCCTACTGAGCTTTTTCTGCGTTTTCGTCTTTCCGTTTTTTCTGTTCCTCGTAAATTCTGTCAAAGTCCCGCGATTTCGTGACCAGTATTTCAATTTTATCAATCACTGACGTCGAAGAGTCTTCAATATTGCCCCGTGAAGTGGTAATTTTCTTCACGGTAACAAGGCCCTGATTCTTCAATATCTCTGCTACGGCAACCGCGTCGGAAATGGCGCGCCCCAAGCCCGTAATAATTACTTCGGGTTTCCCTTCGTGAAGACGGTGCTTGGTGTAGTCAACAAACGCAAAGTTGCGGCGATCAACGCCAACCCTGACCTGGATAGGTGCAGTGGCTTCTTCGACAGCGCAAGTCATATGAATGGTGTGAAAGTTAAATACTTTGTTGATAACATATAATATTTTAGGTGACAATAAAAACAAAAATAAAAAATAAAGAAGTCAATATCATTAATAAAAAAAAAGCACAGTTGCAAAGAGGAGAACCACATAGTATAAAAACACCGACTTTCATACGTGTGGATACACCTTTATCTTGCCCCTCAAACAAACACAAACCACCAATTGTTTTCTTTTTTGGCAAAGGGGAAGTTAAAGAAAAAGCGGTATATGAGCTTTGTCTGCAGTCCTATTAGCATCCGCTCAATGCAGGTAATCATCCCACTACCACCCCCTCCTCACGGGAAAACAGCATAATAGCAAACATTTTCAAAAATCAAATCAGCACTCAAATATTCTTTGAAAAAATCAAACTCACAGACAATTGAATGTTGCCCATGAAGTTATTCTACTATAACGGGCAAGTATAGTCAACACCAAACAAATCTTCTGTTGTGTTCCTGTTTTTAATTATTATTATTATTTTCTTTTCTTTCTTTGTGTTTGGACGCAGACTTAGTATCCTCTAAACCCAACACTATCTCCATATTAATATTTTTTTAAAAGTCCGACCAAACCATACATGGCAACATTACCACATCCATTCTCGTTAGTATACACACCATGGACGCAATATCGTTTTGCAGCTTGTACTTACTAGTACCTGCGTTCCTGTGTTTTTTTTATTTCTCTTTCCCGGCATGCAATAAGTGTTCTCCGGCTTTTTAAAAAATGGCAAAGTTGCAAGTATTAACAGCTAACTTGTTCATGCATTAAAGGACAAGAGCCCAGTCCGAGCATTCCAAACAACTGAGCACCCCCCACACACTCAAAATAAGACCCAGCCCGCCTTGCCGTCCCCACTATGAAGCGCCCTGGCCCCGCCGCCCCCCGCGCCCCCACGCCAAAACCTTTGAAGAAGCACACCCGCGCCGCGGCGAAGCGGCCCGCAGCGTAGCAGGTGCCCCTGGTTCCTCTGATCCCTGCGTGCGTTCCGGAGGGCGCGACTGGGAATAAAACCAGACGCCCGCGAGGCGGCGGACCGCCCCGGCTGCGCGGCGCCCTTCCGATTCTTGGGGCGGGGCGTCGGGCATTTAGAGGCCACTCGCGACCACAGCCTCGCCCAAGACAGTTTTAGCGCCGCCTCGTTCTTTATTGCGCGGAGGGCGGCCTGTTTCTAAGGCGCGGCGGTCGCCGGGCACACCCGGCATCGATGGGGCCGCGGGCGTTCGCGGGGGGAAGGGGCGCCCGCCATGTAGTGGCGGACGTGCCGGGCGCCGCCTTCGTTGAGCGTATTATTTTTTTTTTAAGCAAGGGATATGTTTGGGAGGACCCCGGGCGGGGCGGCGGGTTTGGCGAACGCGTAGGCTCAGACAACGCAATGGGGAAGGGGGAGGGTGCGCGTCTGAAGATTCGGGATGGCGCTTTCCAGAGTATTATTTGATGGGCATGGTTGTTCAGGGTCGGATGGGTGGACTTAACTAGATATGTTTTTTTTCTATAAAGGGATAAGGAATATACAAATAAAATAATGTTGTGTTTTTTTTTTGCCGATGGGTGCCGATTGAGTTTTTTTTTTCTGAAAGGTGACACGGTTCTCCGCAAACTTGTCTACATCCGGCATAAGGTGAAAATGCTGCGTATTGCGTCAAATTTTGGATTACGTATGTCCTTGTCGTTCTACCGTACATAAGTATTATTATTATTATTGCTGGAGTTTCATTTAACATATTTGGAGCCTTATGTACTGGCTTTTAGGTGAAACAATATATATCTTTTTCAAAAAAAAATTGTTTTTGCTTGTAGAAGATAGTATCTAACCTGTTTTTTCTAGGTCGCAGTTAAACATGTCAAGGATGCAGAACGGAACGGTTAATGACGCACAGCTTCAAGCAGTCAATGCATTTACTGAGGCACAATCTTTACTTGAAGTAATGCTGATGAAGTTCTATGCCGTGGAACGCAAATCGGGAGATCCTTTTTTCTTAGAGTAGTTATAGCTGGTAAAAAGAACGGAAATGCCAGTAATTCAGTAGGATTGCTTCTGTCGGAACTTTTGGATACTACCGTGGAAACTAGTCAGAATCTTTTATGTGAGGGAAAAGGGACAGTGGTGAGGCCATCCGGTTTGCTTATTGACTATGGTACTTATTTTATTCAGCTTCTTGAAGGAGTTGAAAGACATATTGTTCTTTTCCTGAAACTTTTGGAGAAACACTGCGCACAGAAAGAAGAGGCTAGTTGTTATGATGTGCGGATATTGTATTTGGTTGATGATGTTTCCCCATCGGTCTCAACGTCATTTCTTTATACAGACAAGATACCCGCCATGAGTACAGACGACGAGATTCAGGAGAAGACTGAGGAGGAGGTTGCTGACATGATTATGGAGGATGTTCATAACCTGATGAAGCTCTTGGATATTGTGGCATCGGAACCAAGTAACAGACACAAATTATCAGTGGATAGTGTTAGGGTTACTCATCCTCTACTTTTCCCCCGCATATCATCGATCAGGACCTATCTTGGAGGGGATCTTTGTCTTACACTTTCAGAATACGTTGATGTATTTGGAAAAATACCAGTGGTGACCAGAGATGTTGAGTTAAATCATCCTGTTGATTGTCCATTAAAATTTTGATGGTTTATTTTTCATTTTTTTTTGGTTCATAATTTGATCTAGAGAAAGATGTATGTATATATATATCATCCGTCGTTAACGAAGTATTTCCAAGTGATACAAATGTATTTGGTTTTGTTAACATTTGAAGATGTGATAATTGTTTGAGTTTTGGTGATATCTTTTTTTTCGTTTGTTCAACTTGTTTTTTTGTTTTTATTTTTCTGTCTTACAAGGTGTGTCTGAGAGATAAAGAGGAGGAGAGTGTGTGTGTGTGTGTGTGTGTGTGTTGTTTCCGAGGTAGCATTTAGGATGCCGTCAAAGCGGGCTACAAGGGTTCAAAAGCTTCACGAAGCCTCAGGAGATGATCATGCGCCCGTTTTTTCCTTTGTTATTGAAAAGGAAGGAGAGGGTCAATATGGTAGAATTGATGTAGAAATTTTTTTGAACAAAGCTCCTAAAGCATGTGAGCTTTTCTTGAATAGTTGCCCAGGTGCACTAAATGGAGACAAGAAAAGCAATAAACAAAGTATAGTCAGACAGCATCGGTTTCTCCGTCTTACAAACGAGGGACTCAAGTCGGTGAGCGTTTGGTATCCCGCACACTTTCTTTCTCCGATATCGAGAATGAAATAGGGCGTATAGGTCATGCAGTTGGAGTCGTTTCGCTCTGTCGTTCATCCACTTCGTGGGATGATTCCTTTTTTTTCTGTCTAACTGACAATCGCAGCGAACTTGAGTCTTTAGATAAACGCCATGTTGCGTTTGGTAGGGTAATTTCTGGTTTGGAGACACTCTTTTCACTACGAGATGTTCTTTTACCCTATGTAAAGGAAGGCTGTGTTATTGAGGGAAGCCCCTACATAATTTCAGATGTTTTACCAAAGAGAACCACATAGATTTACCGTGTCTTGTTCTTGTGTCCCAAGCAATATGTACAGTTTTTATGTGAAAAAAGAGCTTTATATTGGTTATATATCCGGTTAGTTGGAAAGGAATGGAAGGGACTAGTTGGTAATTTCACGCTTTTCTGTTCACTTTCTCGCTTTTCAATTATTTCCTATCTGTCTGTGTATGGATATAAATATTTTTTTAGCTTTGGATTTTCAGTTTCCTGTAATGAAGAAATATATATGTATATGTGTGCTATATTTACTTTTCATTTTTTTTTGTTAAAAAGTATGAGTAATAACGGGTTAGTTAGTGAGAGTGTGGCGGCAGCCCTAAATGTAGAGCTTATTTCTTACGTTGTTGGTCGCCATAACCTTAGCGGAGAGGACAGTCAAGGTGCTAACTCCGACAATGAAGTGGAGTTGAATACGCATAAGGGGCTTGAAGGGTTAGGCCTATTGCTGGGTTTGCGATTGTCGGAACGACTCCTATATCGTCAATCATCTTTTGGTGAGTGGACTCCTCCAGGTGTAACGCATTTTGTTGCCCGACAATTTTGGAAGGCTGCTTTTGGGAAAAAAATAGATAGGATGATGCATATGAATGACATTTATTTTTGTCTTATTGACAAAAATTTTCGATGGCTTGAAGGCTTCCCTAAGGTAAAAGGAGATCGCATAATTTCCACAACGGTATTGTTACCCTCCGCTTACTCAGAGGAATCTGTAACCAAGGAGGAAGGTGGCTCAACTCGGGATGAAAGAGTAGGAAGTATGCCAATTCACAAAGATGTTTTGATTTATACTGTTGGCATACTGAAAGGCCTTATTCGCGTCATGTACCCTAGTGGACATCTTGCAATTCATGCTAACCTGAACAACGAAAACGAAACTCAGTTTGTGCTGGACTTTAGAACTCCTACTCTATAGAATTGCATGTGAGAAAGAAATGATATATATATATAATTCTGAGGGGGGGAACAGAGTTTAAGGGATCAAAATGAAACTTTTCACTGAAAGCAGATAACTGAATTGTTTTTGGAACTGGTGTCCCACGTATTATTTCTCTATCTATCTATCCTGATTTTTTTTTTTGTGAAGGAAGTGGTGATATGCTCCGTTCATATGGAATGCGCCTCTCGGCACTTGGCCAGACGCAGGCTCGCAGATTTACATCTCTACAGGTTGAAAAGCCATGTGCCACACTTGCTGACAAGATAGTTCGGGGTAGAGAATCCACAGTATTTTACCGACATCCTGTTTACGTTATGTCTCGAGAGAAAATGTTGAGTACAGTATGGGTTGACAGCGGCATTTTCAGTATTTCTTGGAAAGTGTTATTGCCATACTTTGCAGTCGCCTATTTCTTTAAAGCTTAGGAGAAGAAATTAGGATACTAGGAGAAGAATGAGATAAGTATTTTTTTTTTGGTGCATATACTAGTGGAAATGTTTTCTTGGGCGTGTGTGTGCGTTTTGGTGTCCCTTTAGCTTTTGGAATGATGCTGAGATTACGTTTCATAATATGTCTTTTGGATTATTATTATTTGTATTGGTATGAGTAATTCTATTTTTCTATTTTTCTTCCTTTATACTCAGATGTTAATGGGTTTTTGTTTTGCAAGCAATTTAGGGAAATGTGGCGTTCTCGCATTCATTTATTAGGAGTTACTGGTGCATTTTACCCACTAACTTCTGTTATGGATGCTTGCTCAGTTGTAAGACTTGTTCGCACAGGCACCACTAGACTAGCAAAATTTTTGGAAAAAGAGGTTCTTGAGTCAAGTGGTACTCAACGCTCTAGGTCCTTTGATGCAAAAATAAAAGATGATATTGCAATGTCATTACAGACACTTTTAAATTTAAAGGAAAGAGATGTGGAACGTGTTGTTTGGGAGGAACAAAAACTTATTGATGAACGTCTGGCGACGTGTCTTGTGCCTTATCAAGTGGCAGCAAATATCATCATGAGAGGACTTCCGAAGGAGGTGAGAAAAAAATGTATGGAGGAACTGAAGGCCGAGGAAAATTTCCTTGCAGAAGGGATTACATGTAAAGGGGACAACAAATTTATACAGTGGAAAGAGCAGGATGTATTTGTCTCTACTGGACTAAACTATCTCAGGCGGGTTTCTCCTCTCCGATCTTCTCGTACTCCCGTTATCGCAGTTATGGGTCACACTCAACATGGAAAGACAACGCTTCTTGATGTTTTACAGCGGACGAATTTTCGTAACGAAGAGTCCAGGGGCACATCTCAGACCATTCGAGCTTTCACGATCCCTGGCTCTGAGGAAATCGTCAGATCGGTAACATTTGTTGATACACCTGGTCAACGCATATTCACAGAGACTCGTTTTCATGCACAAAGTATAGCAGATGCCATACTTTTAGTTGTTTCCTTGGTGGAGGGTGTTCAAAGTCAGACCTACGAAACCATCAAAGTGGCTTTAAACCTTGATAGACCGATTGTGGTGGTACTAAATAAGCTGGATCTTTATTCAGATTCACAAAAAGCGAATGAGGCCGTGTTTAATATTCTCATGGATTTACGAGAGGCGGGAGTGAATGTTGTTATGATTCATAAAGAGAAAGATATTGAACGACTACACGTATGTAAATCCGGTCCAAAATCCAACACACTACTTTCAGAAGAGGCTCATAATACGTTTCAGTTATTTGCACCAATGAAAAAAATAGATCCTAAATATAAAGGAAGTAGCACACATCCAGTGCTGAACTTACAGCGCAGCTGCACCGGGATATGTATATCAGCGAAGAAAAGCGAGAATATAAATCTTCTTTGGTTACTTATTGAACGGATGTCTTCAGTGTTATCACCAGTTTGTCATAGCAAAACAGAGGATTATACTTCACATTCTTGCTCACATCAGGCCGTTATCTTGGAGTCCTCAAAACATCTATTTGATGAAGAGAGTTTTAGAATTCGGAAGAGTGTGCAACAGCTTCAAAAGAAGCAAATTACCGCCTTTGAAAAACGACAGTTGCAATTTGGAAAGAACAGTGTTTGTGTGAGATTGCATTCTGCTCTCAATGCTGCCAGAAAAAAGGTACAGAGCTCGAATCCAACAAGTACGAGATGTCTTGTTTTGACCGTTGTCGTCAGGGAGGGCTGCCTCACAAGAGGCATGCCCTTTGTTGCAGATCAAACGAAAGGGCGTGTGGATTACATGATAGACTCTATTGGTAATTATGTGAATGAAGCGTATCCCGGTACAGCTGTTACAATTATTGATCTTCACAGTAACACTGGATGCCCTGGTGTAAGAACTCATCTACTTTCAATGCCTTCAATGGAGGAACGAGATCGAGTTTTTGAATACAGGCGTTTGCTGCAGTGGTTTGTTGAGTGTTTCCCTACTCGTTTGAATCTTCTTCGTCCGCGAGGGATGGACGTGTCCTTTGCATACCTTGGTGATTATGGGCAACTTAAAAATACGCGTTGTTTAGAGTACCAATTGCTTTATGGACCTCCACAGGATGCATCCTTAACAGAGCTTAACTCAGAATCCACGCAACACACGATCACAATGAGTGATTCTACACCGCGTGAGAAGAGTATTGCAGAGTATTTGTCGGAGAAAAATTTGGAGCATGAAGAGCGTCATAACGAGCTTTTATTGGATGATGGATTTCATGGAAAAACATTTTTGGACGATGATCTTGCGGTAACGTTAGAAAATACTTGGACACAGTTACAACCTCACAATAGGCCTGAGACCCAAGCGAAGTATGATGAAATGATTAAAAGCAGTGTCCAGATCGGTGTGCTTTTTAAGGTTGACTCCTGGCACAGCGCCCGAATGCTATATCGTGAGCTCACTCGGTTGGGTACACGCAAGGTGGCATTCCAAGCTGTTGGAATGCGGTTCGGTGAGTTGAATGTAGATGATATTATGTTTTTTGGGCGAGCAATGAAGATTGCCATTTGCTATCGGACTCCTGTAGGTCTGTCTACTGACCTTGATAGATACCTTGAAATCAATGACACTTGGGTCCTGCAGACAGATGATGTCTCAGAGGTTGTTTTGTTCCTTAAGTGGTGCGCGGTGGCGCTCCATAAGGAGTATGCCCCTGATGATTATGGAGTGACCGGGCAAAGTCATAAAAACTACTTGGTACTCATGAAGGATGGAGCTGGAGGGGGCCTTGTGAAGAAAGCGGAGCCACCAAATAATGGCCGACGCCGCAGGCTGCTTATTACACCAAAATCTTCACATTCAAATCTGTAAAATACAAGCACTTTTGCCAGTACGAGGGGTGTTGCTTGTGTGTGTGTGCGTTTTTTTTTTTTTGCAGTTTCTTTCCCCCCCTTTTATTGCCTCACAGAGTGTTGCGAGTAACGGGATGCCTGTGCGTGGTATTATTGTTATTACCACTAATTTCACCGTTTAGATCTGTTGTTTGGGGATATTTTTTGTGTGTGGTTTGTTTTGGCATTTATTTTTGTATTTGTTGTTTTGTTATGTTACATACATTATTATTAAGTGGAAGGAAACTATTGAAAACACAGAGTGCCTTGCTTTGTTTTGTTTTATTTTTTGCCTTTTTTTTTCTCTTTCCCTCCTTGACAGTGGATTGGGGTTGAAGAGCCGCGGCAGTGGAATGGCAGCGGCAGAGGAGGATGCTGACTATATGTGTCTGGCGACGAAGCTGTATGCCGACTCCAAGCACTTTCTGGCAATTAAGGCCTATGAGCGGGCTCTCGTGCAGGTGGAGGACGCTGCTGCCGCTGCTTTCGTTACATCGGACTCGATGACTTTGTCGGGGCACGACGCAGTAGCGGGAAGCGTGCTGTTCAAGGACTTTATACTGCACTGCAACGCGTTTAGCGTTAAAAGCGTCGCAACCGACATCAAGGTGGCGAAGGATTTTATGCGGTTATGCCTCGAGGAGCTGCTGAGGCGAAATTATATTCAAGGAAATCTTGACACTGATGACCCCAGCCAGCTGTTCGTACCTGCTCAGGAAGATAGAGGTATTGCGTTCCTTGTGTCACTGAGCTTGAACAATTGGGCCTGCCTTTTACTGCGATCAGGAAATACGACAAGGGCCGCAGCGTTTTTTCAGATGGCACTCGACAACGCTGTGTCAGAAGAGATGACATGTATTATTCTTATTAACATATGTGCATTAAGCGTACACAATTGCTCATTCTCAGAGGTGTGTGAGCGAGCACTGGAGGTGCTTCGCAGGACAGAAGACAACGACGAGGAGAAAAAGGAACGGGTGTGTGAAAGTACTACGACCCGTGAAGATGTGGACGTACTTCTTTGCGCGTTCGCGTATCATTATTTGGCCATCGCTGAGGAATACCTGCAGCCACACGAGGCGGAAGACCACTACAATCAAGCGAAGAAAATGCTAGTCTCAAGCCCCTACCAACAATGGTCAAGCGTCATTGAACGCGCCCGCAGACAATTTATTGAAATTATACAACGCCGCAGAGAAGAGGCGGTCCGACGACGCGAACTCGCTGATGCAGAGTTGGAGGCTGCCAGACAGGTGGAAGCAACTGTTCGACGAAAAGGTGGCCGACCTAAGTCTGCATTATCGGTGCCCTCTTCTTCGAAGCGTTTGAGTCGTGGCAAAAAACACAGGTGGCGGAATTCAAGTGCGACGAATGATACAAAAGATGACTCTGTGGAACTTCCCCCTATAAGTGAATATCTGAAGCAGAAAATGCGGATAGAGGGTCTAACCAACTTCGCGGTTCCACTGCTTCGGGTGGTGGATGTGGGAGACATGGTCTTGACGGGAAACCACACTATTGACGAGATCGTCTTTCCCTTCACGGAGGGTGCAGGCTCAAACAGTGTTGCTATGGTCGTGCTATGCGAGGAAACACCTCTGCAGATTGTAGATGAGGCGGAGATAAAAAATATCCAGTCCCCACGGAGGACAATTTGGTCCCCGATTGCCAAGAAGAATGACGACATCGTCATTGCACCATCACCGAAGGCAAAACAAGCTTTTCTACCCTCTACGGAGGTGGTGAATATTATGAAGACGTTTATGCCACCCCCACTCTCGGAGAAGTCTATTGAAAATGCTCAGCGCAGCGTTGCCGCATTTAGAAAGATTTTGAATCATCGTTTGCAGACGTTGTTGCGGGCCGAAAAGGCGTATAAGGAAAGGTGGGAAGCCACAAATATCGTGGGGCGTGCTCTTCTTATCTTCAACCTTGCGCAGGACATCGTGAAGTTGAAAGCGAGTATGAAGACGAAGCAGGAGGCAAGGAGGATTTTGGTGAATGCGAGTGCGAGGCGAATAGTGAGATTCTTTCGTTTTGTTCTCAAACAAAAATATTTTGATGTTATTCCAATACGGGGGAAAGCTCGCGTGAAATACGTTGAGGAAAAGGCTGCAATTACTCTGCAGAAGTACGCAAGGCGCTGGCTGGCGACTAAAGAGTTGCGAAGACTGCAGGAGCAACACCAGACCAAAGTACGCCGAGTCACGAAGATCCAAAGCATGTTTCACATGCAGGTCACACGACGTTTCTACCTTGCTCAGCAGGAAGAAAGAGATAAGGTGTTGAAACGTCAGAAGGAGACGGTGGCACGCGAATTCGCGGTGACACAGATTCAACGCGCGTATCGGCGTCATGCATACAGGCTCCATAAGTGGCATGAGGAGGGAGATCTAGCGCAATTTACACTTCATCACTTCAAGTTCTCGCGGGAGTACTACGCGACACTTATACAAAAAACATTTCGTGGGTTTTTGGTGCGGCGCGTTTATGGTCCTGTCGTTCACGCAAAACGTTGTTACGGGCGAAACTGTTATCGTGCTTCGTTGCTAAACAAGTGTGCCACAATTATTCAGAGCGCATTTCGGGGATATCGCATACGACGCGCCACCAGGATCCCTATACAGAGGCGACTGCAGCAGCGCCTACTGCGACGGGCGAGGGAAAAGGTGGAGTTGCAGCGGCGCTTTCAAAATAAAGCGGCAATAGTAATTCAATGTGCCTACCGATGTTATGTGGCTAGGAGGACTGCAGCTAGACTGTGCAAGGTGCGGGAAAGGGAGCGTTTGCTGCGGCGGAATCGCGTGCATGTGCCGTTTCGGTTGGAGGAACAGGTGTACTGACCACAACGTACCAAGGATGTAAATTTTGCCTGATTTTCACAGTTAATGGGTTCTGCAGTTTTTTTTTTGTTTTGTTATTATTGTTCCCTCTCTGTGCTTTTGTGTGTGTTTGCCATGTGTAATACGGTTGTGGTTGTGGTGATAAAAAAAGATATTATGTGCTCCACTGGGCGCCTGGTCCTCGTGCGGTGGGTAAATAAATGACTGCGGTTTTGTATTTGCTCACTAATTCTGCTTGGTTTACTCCTTTTTTTTTTGTTTACTGGTATGTTCTCCCTTCTGTAGGCGTTGGGTGGTGTGCCCGTGAGTGTTTCCTCAGCCGTCTCCAGTTTGTCTGTCCCCCTCCCTCTCCTCAAAGAGAGTCTCTCCGCCAAAGCGCGAAAAACAACAACAAGCCAACAAATGAGCAAAAAAAAGAAAAAAAAAGGAGAAAGAGAGGTGGGGGGGGGTGCGGCATGTGGGTGCACGCACGCCTCTAAGAAGTATGCGCACAAGCATTGCTTGAGATGTCTTCGATAGGGTTCTCTGCTACAGCCATTTACTCGCTGCGTGAAGACTTCTACAAACCTTTTTTTTTCCACCTGACGCCAGTACCTCCGGCTGCTCTTTTTTTGTTGCCATGCCGACTCGACACCGCGACGCGGTGCTGTTTTAAGTGTAGAATCCCTTATCTTTCCCTGGACGACGGTGTTTTACCTATGATTTTGTTTGATGCAAACGGAACTTAACCCCCTCATGACGTGCGCAGAGGCTCTGTAACGCGTGTACGAGCGGCTAAGAAGGTTGTGCTGCGGCCGAGGTGCGAGTGAGCATGGGGCGTAGTCGTCGTGCACGCACGCGTTATCCACGTTTATATGAGGGTTCTCTCGCGCAACTTTGGGGCACACGCAGCGCCCGGTGTACATTTTATTAACTGTCATCTGGTCGCTGTGGGCAGCCGCTTCTATTACTTTCTCAGTCCGCCTTTTTTTTAGTTGATTGCATACCCGTGTGTTTGGTGCATGCTTCACTGCTCTCTCTCTCCCTTTTCCGACGAAAATATCAGAACAAAAATAACAACGGATAAATGCCCTGTTGAAGGGACATGATGTGTCGTTAAACTTTACACGTTCCGTCTGTATCTGCCTGTTCTTGCATCCTCCCGAGGAAGGGAACGCCACAGCAAAGTCTAATATAGTCCTGAATAGATGGGGACGTCAAGCTCAACGCTGGAAGTGGGTAAGGCCTTACGCTTGCTGCTAACTGATGCACCTGTGGACAATGGCTCGCTCGCGTTGCTGCTAAACACATCCCTCTCTGACACTGAGGTTGAGCGAGCCCTTCCGTTTTCTACGTTAAGGCTGATGCGGCACTACTACACGAAGAACTTTGCGATACTACTGTTTAAATGTATTGAGACTGTCTCGCTGGTGCGCATTGCCTCTCTTGAATCCGCGGCCGACATGCAATCCGTATCGCAAATGCTTATGAATGCTCTGTGTGTACTGCGGCGAATGCTCCCCATCGCAATGGAGGGCGGAGACACACCGTGTGATGAGGGGGAGCTGGCCGCAACTGACGCGCCCAACGCCAGTGAAGTTTTGACGGATGCGAACCTCCTCAAAGTGGGGGAAGGCGGTGCACGACATCGAACACGTTTTGCCGCCTCCTTTGTACAATTTTTTTTTGAGGAAAATCTTGCCTGTGATGAGCAACATCCGAAACAGATGCTTCCGTTTTTGCCTGGTCAGAATGCAACACTTAGCAAATTCTTGGGACGGCTGCTGGTGGACTGTTGTTTTATTCGCGGCCTGACGCTGCCCACATCATCTGCCCCTGCAACACAATGTGGGAGTCACCCCAATGTGGATGCGTCCCTCTTGTGGTACCCGGGCGTGGGTGGAATGCAGGAACAACTTACCGTCTCACAGGTGGTAAACGCCACGACACATGCCCTTCGATACCAGCTCCTCTACACACTCACTGCATTTTTGGCCTATCCATTGTTTTCCCCGCCTGCCACGCGAGACACCGTCTTTTCAGAACCACTAGTTAACGCCTATGAGACGCCACTTCTCCCAACACTCGTCGCCTCCGCGTTGAATGCCATATTGTCATATGCACCGTTTGGTTCTATGCCATACACAAGCCATTGGGTGGGGAAGGAGGAGAAGGTGGTATTAATGTCTGCACGATTTTTAAGTGCCCTGATATGTTATCCAGGCGCCAGGGTTGAGGGACCCGCACAGGCCCGAAACACTACTGGGTCTGAGGAGCAGGAAGATCACCGTGAATCAAAAGAGACCGTGGAAACACAGGGAGGCATGTCTGAGACCTCAGTAGAGCATCCGCCTAGCCCACAACCCTTACAAATCATTCATAGCGCAAGGGAACTCATCTGTGCATTGACGCTGGAGGAGGCGAAGTACGTCGTGCTGCATCTAAGAAACATTATTGGTCTAAAATTGTATTCAAATCGAACGTTTCTCCCCGAATCGCAGCATTGCTTCATAACGCAGGATGAGTTCATGATGCTGCTCTGGCGGTTAGTTGAGCTTTCTCCCCAGTGTCGGGTGGCGTTTGGGCAGCAACCGGAGGCGGTGGATTATATAGTGCCTCTGGTGGATTACGCGCTCAACGCCAGGCGGGACCCAAAGTACTTTCCACATCTGCAGCTTGTGTTGTTTCTGTTGCTGCGACTATCTGAACTGCGAGCATTTTGTCTTCAGTGCAACGCGGCCTTTCGTGAGCGTCTTCCCTTTGAATTTGAGCCTTTTATGGGCACCTACAATGATTTACTAATTATCATGTTGTGCTCGTTCATACTGTTTCGTCATGAGATGATATGTCCCTTGCATGTGACTTGCAGTGCGATCATATCGAACCTTGCTCCTTTTGTTAACAGCATCAGCCTCGTCAGTGCAGAAAAGCTGAGTCTTGTCTTTACTTTGGTGGCCACAAGATGTCTTGCGTACGAGGCTTTATTGGCAACCAATGAGACGCTTGCCGATGGTGCAGAAGTGGCGGCAGATCATGTTGTGATGTTTGGTGTTGTGGGAGCCGTTGCAAGTGTGCTGCAGTATCATGAGGGGGCCGCAGCAGTCCTTCTTGCCGCCTTTATGAAGTGCAAGTCTTTGGTGAGTGAGGTGTCAGAGGTGTTTCTGGTGGAGGGACGTGACGCCCTCCGTGTGCAGGTTACCTCCCCGTTCCTTATAGACACCATCAGGGACGCAATCACTGCCGTTGAAGGAGCCGTTGCCGCTTCGGAAGCTTCTGGCGTGGCGAACACCGCGGTTGTGATACGCAACACATCTCTTGTGGGTGCTTTACCAACTCCACACCGTATTGTTGTTAGGCGGCTTTGCTCCACAGAAGCAATGGAACAGTGGGCAATGGCGACAACCTGGTCGTCGTTGTACATGCACACGTCACCCGGAACCTTCGGGGAAAGCAAATCCATCAAGATGCTACGTTTCATTTAAACCGCATTGCTTCACTCAGTTTTTTTTTTTCACGTTTTAAAATTGTTTTGTTGGGTCGGGTATATTAGTGCGAGACTCGTCTCTGGCAAGCGCTGGGCCTGACGCCTCTGCCTATGCTGCGCCCCAAGTCGGCCTGTTAGAGTTCCTTCTTGGGGTGTAGTGTTTCCCTTCCCTTTCTCCTCACCTGCATCTGCCCGCTGTGTTTATGGCCGCATTGATCGTTCTGCTCTTTGGCACGACGCCAGAGGAAAACAGTTCAAAAAATACATCATTTTTTTTTTTTTTTGCCTTCCCACCTCCCACTTTCCGACACTGTCAGCCAAAGACCCCAGAAGGAAAATTTCTAGAAGCTTTATCTTCTGCGTATTCCTTCCGCTGATGTCTTGCTGCAGGGCCTTCAGCGCTCCTGAGGCCCTTACATGTCAGGTGTGCCTGGACTCATTTCAGAACCCCACACAGGTGTTCATTTGCGGCCACATATTCTGCGAGTCCTGCATTCGAGGGGCGACCAATTGCCCTACGTGCCGTGGTCACGTTGAGTACACCAAGCCAGGACCATATTCCGTGGCACAGGGGGTGCTGGTCCTCCCTGTGATGTGCGGAAGCTGCGGGTGGCAAGGAACACGGCAGCAGTCGCTAGCCCACCGATGTGGGACAAAAGACACTCAGAGTGTCTACAGCAGTTATCCACACCTTTCCGACGAAGAATTGCGTCGCCGGGCAATGAATCCCTCCCGAGGCTCTATCTTTGACCAGCCCGGCACCTTCCAGGGGATCGCGCTCTCCAGCGAGGTCGATCAAACACGAAAGTAACACTTTATGCACCGCAAACAATGGTCATATACAAAAATGAATTAAAAACAATAGCAAAACGATGTATATAAATCTCATCCGCCAACTACAACAAAAACAAATAAACAAGAGGGAAAGCAACCGGAAATTAGGATGTTTTTTTTTTCTTTTAAGAAAAATATTCCGGTGTACGACTCAATTTTATCTAACTCTTGTTCCCACTGTTTCCTTACGTACAACGGCATCGTAATAGCATTCTTTTTTTGGCACACAAACACAAACAAACAAACAAGTCAAAAAAAAAAATGAACTGAGAGAGAGGGAAGGGCGGAGACCGAGTATGGAGGTGTGCGAAGTGTTGCTGGGCTACTCAGCATGCGTGTCTGCCGCTGCCTTATTCCTCTCTCCCTTGTAAGGTGGTGATTAGTTAGGAGGATCATCCCTCTCTTTCGAGGAAGACTTTGTCCGTGCCCGTAGTTACTCATGCCTCCCATTATCATGGCCACGAGGTGCAGTGAGGAGTTGCGCTGCGCGCTTTGCCTGGATTCTTGGAAGGACCCGGTGGAGCTGGTTTCGTGTGGGCACATTTTTTGCATGGAGTGCGTTAAGGACGTGCGCACGTGCCCCATGTGTCGCGAGTCTGTGACCAAAAATAAAAAGCCGAACCAC